GGCAGGGAGCGGGCACGCTTGCGCACAGCGCTGGGAGGGAGGGATGGAGGGAGGGAAAAGCATCCTGAGGGCTGGAAGCAGCCGGCCCCGCCATCGGGAAGGTGGGAGAGGACAATTCCCCCCCTCCATTCCCAGCGGACCCCTGGAAATCACAGCACTGGGAGCAACCCCCTCGCTGGTACAAATCTGACCCCAAATAAGAGCAGCTCACAGCAAATTAATGGGCTTTTTTTTTTTTGGGGGGTGGGGAGTGAAATCGCACCATTCCCCCATCACATCCACCATGAGATGATGCTTTGCTTAAAATCACCACCTAAAGATTGAAGGGGGTTTTCTGTTGTTCGTTTTCCTGCAGAGAAATTAATCCCCACCTCAGTATCCCATGGGATTCCCAATTCTATCCCCATCATCATCACCATACATGGAATCAGCAGCCAACTCCCTCAAGGCATTCATTTCAACAGTCCAAACCCCATCCCTCCTGCACTGGAGTGGGTTTTGCCAATCCCCAAGACAATATTTACACTGATGTTTAATGAGGAAATAATGTGGAGCATTGGCCCCGGAGCAGGCAGTGAATTTTATTCCTATTTAGTGGGCTGGAAAGCAAGAGATTGATAGAATGAGGAGGGAACCGGCCCCATTTGAAGAGCAAGACTGGTGCCAATTGATAAAATACCTGTTGAGCTGATGGCTCTGGTCTTGCCAAGGCTCACTGAACAACTACATCAATATTTGAAGAGCATCCTTGTCTCATCTCAAGGATGGGGCTTCCTTGCCCATAAGAAGTGAAGCAACAGGACAGAGCTTTACCCGTGGTGACAGGCAAACCCATTGTAATTAGGCTTTAATTGCCACCGGCTTGTCAATGATGCTGGGGTAATTAGTGGGGCCACAGCTCAGCAGGGGGGGAGCTGGGATGTGCTTGAAGGATATCTAGCCCCTTTGGTCTCTTGGGTTCCCCCGCTCTGTTTATTGCATCTGAAAACAATAAGCGGCGTTCAATAAGCGCCAGCAATAATAATACATCCCAAATGTCTATTTTTACCATGCCCCCAAGACACAGTATTAAAAGAGGCTGCCAAGCTTCGCTTCCCAGGATTGTCTCACTCCCTCCTGGTGGGATGGGCTTGTATTGGGATGATGCCTCCATCCCCCTGCAGCCTGGGGCAGCACCAACAGGACCCAGAGCAGAGATGCCAACCCATCAGGGAGCTGCTGTGCCTGCATCTCTGTACCCTAGAGGTCTTGGTGTTGGGGTTTAAGCTCCACCAAGGCTTAGGTAAAGCATGGTCCCGTGCCAAGGAGCACACACCAGCCACATCCACCCTACTTAAGTCCTCGGTGGACCCAAAGGCCACCAAAGAGCTTCTTTCAGTGGCCACCACAGCTCCAAGAGGCAAAGTGTCTTTGGAAAGCATATTTGCTGCCTTAACAGAATGGCACGAGCTTGCACTGGGTACTTAGTCATTGCTAATGACTACACCCTGCCCTAATATTCCATTTACAAAGGATAAATTGCCAGTTAGATTAATTCAGCACAATGAGAACCAGGTGATTTGTATAGGAAAAGGAGGGGATAAAAGAAACTTCCTGGCTCTTTGAACAGTGATTTATAAGGAGCTCTGCCACCGCCCAGCCCAAAGCTGTTCCGAAATGACACGGATACAAGGGTTTAGAAGATGCAGTGAGGAAGAGGGCTGTTCTCTCACTGAGGTTTTGCCATCCCAGGATGGCCTCATACCATCATCACAGACAAAACCCTCCCAAAAGGGTGATGAGGACAAAGCAAGAGCCCGGCGAGCACAGTGTTAATAAAGGGGGCCAGGGTGCTTGCAGGATCTGCTCCAGGGGGACAAGAATGGGGCAATTCATGGCCAGCACAAGCCACCTTTGTCCTACGACCACCTCGGCCTCACCCTTCCTCAACCCATAGCCTGGAAATGCTGCTTCTGGCTCTGCAAACCCAGCCCCAGGACATCAATAAGTCCTTTGAAGGCTGCAGCCATAGATCCATCAACATACATCCCCCTGACCTCCTCTCCTGGGGTCCTGGACTCCATGATCCCCCTTGCTCCCAGAGGAGGTGGGTGCTGGCCAAGTAGCATCCTTTCTAGTCTCCCTAGAGAAAGGATTCCTTCTGGATGCAGATGTGCTGCTTGGTTGTCTGCCACAGCCCTTAAAGCATCTGTTTTCAAGGCAGGTTTAGCTGTTGTTTTAGTATCTGGAGAACAGGGAAGCTTTGTGGTTGACAGGATGGTCCCATCTGGTGTTGAACCTGTAAAACTGTGATTTTTGCCTCACCTATGGAGACCAAGCTCCCTCTTAGCACTGAAAACACTCCAGTATATAATAAATAATCATCCGTTTCCCTTAGCAACGTAAATCCTAAGGATGCAGAAAGCCAGGGCATGGCCAACCACACTGATCATCTCCAGATCCACTTCTACAGCAGCTCCCAAATCAACTGCTAGGAGATGGGTAGATCTGAAACAAGAGGGAAAGACTTCTCCAGCAGACTGCCCTGGCTTTACCACATTTCTGTAGAGAAAGAAGAAAAGGTGGCTGCATCCAGATGCTCTGCCTCTCCCTGCTGCTAAAAGGTACCAGGGAACTGCCTGACCTGAATATCTATTAATCGGATGAGGCGAGCAAAGCCCTGGGCATCTCTGATGCTGCTGCTTGCAATGCAGCCAGCTCTGGGCTGCTCCATCACATGGCAATGCTCTGCAAACAAATCACATCTGCAAACAGCAAATCTCAGCTGGATTTCACCCCCCATCAGTGAAAAACCCACCCTCCTAGAGTAGAAGGTGGCGAAACGAGTAAAGAAACAGGTAACCAGCAAGATGATTCCTGCAATTGCATCCCTGGTTCCTGGCTGAAACCAGAGACCTTTTTGGCAGCAAGAACTCATCAAGTTTTCAGAAGCTGGTGTCCAGAGGACAAGATGCAGGGAAACCAAAAGCTGGGTCATCAGACCAAGCCTCCCTGCGTGCTGAAATCAGGTGTTCCTACCACAACAGGCGTCTCTCACCACATCATAGAACCATAGACTGGGTTGGAAGGGAGCCTAAAGCCCACCTAGTTCCAACCCCCGGCCATGGGCAGGGACACGTGCCACCAGACCACATTGCTCTAAGCCCCATCCAACCTTCCTGGACCCTTTCAGCCCTGTTTGGTGGCAGGGGTTGTCTTTTGGGTGGAGAAGATGGATGCACGCAGACCCTCTGCTTGCTGCATCCCAGTCCAATGCTATGACCCCAGTATAGACCAGCACACTAAAGAGTTACTCAATCAATGTTTTAATTGACTTGAGCAGAAGACACGGTTTCTATAAAATGGGCCATCAGCCCCAACTGGTACAAAAGCAGAGTTAACAAAACCAAACTCTTTAAAAAACAACCCAAAACAGGCATTTATTAAAACCAGAATGATACAAAAGCATCTCTGTCTGCTCACACCCTTCCTGCCTCCTGGAATCTCTTGAACAGCATTTTGTCTGCCTGAAGGGCGAAGGTCAAAGCCCGTTTCTGGTAGTACATGGAGTCCAGCACCAGGTTGTCAATCACATCTGTCAGGAGATGGGCTCTCTCCACAGAGATGCCCGGAGCATCGTAGCCCAGGGCGGTGAAATGCACATGCAGGTGGTAGTAGGAGGGATGGTAGTGCAGGTAGATGCGCAGCTGGGAGCCAGGCACGCCAAAACGCTTCATTATAGCCTCCTAAGGAGAAAGGAAACCCCCATAGGTCAGGACTGGAACACGCAGCGAGGGCATGGGGGCAGGCAGTGTGTGGACAGACTTGGAAGGAGCAGCCCTGGGTGGCGGAGAGAAAGGCAGGAGTGATTTCTGCTTCTCCATCCTCACAGCAAGGGAAAGGGCAAGGACAGAGCTCCTCCCCGTCCTGTTTTGGCTTCCACAGGGCTGGAGTAATGCCTTCATCTGCCCCACTTTCCTCCCCCGGTGCCAGGACGTGCTTGTATCGCTTTCCCTTCCACCCTTATCACTCCCCCTTCTACCCTTATCACTCCAGCTCACCCGGTGAGTTACAGGGATCTGTTACCAGCCAGTGTAATTAAAGCTCTGAGCAGCGCTGGTGAGCTCTGCCACGCTGGCTGGGTGCACTGCAATCCCCTGGCTAATCTCTTCGTTAATCTCCACTTTCCCCACTGCAATTACTTCCCAAGTTTCTAAGGCGGTGAAGGAGAGAGAAGCTAGCATGCATCCATCTGCACCAAGCATGCCCCGGCACAGGGCTGGAAAACACTCGTCTGCCAGTGAAAACAGGGTTGGGAGGAATCACAGAATCAACCAGGCTGGAAAAGACCTTTAAGATCATCAAGTCCCAGCGTTCCCCCAGCACTGCCACAGCCACCACTAAACCATGCCACTAAGGGCCTCATCTACATGTTGTCTGAACACTTCCAGCCATTCCACCACTGCCCTGCTATCAGCTTGGATAGGACAGGGCTGGACTCCTGCAGCTCACTGCTAGCAGAGATGTATTGAGCACCCCTAAAACACCTTTCCAATGCCCCAGGGGAAGGTGCTGACACAGCCACAGGGTCTCCAGACAGACATGCTAGAGAGGGCAGCACAGCTTCAGTTCATCACCTATTGTCACCTCCCATTAGTGGTCCCCAACACAGGTGCTGTGGGTGGGTAGGTTGGTCACCAGGGACCCTGTGGTAAGCAGGCTGTGCTCTCCCTGGCCAGGAGAGCAGCACTGGACCAGCCATGCTCTTACCTTCCCTTCTTGCAAGATGTTCCTCAGCAGTGGGAGATGCTCAGCAGTGAGGTCCCGAAGTGACTTGACCTCCCTGCGGTGAACAAGGGCTATCAGGTAGAGATCATCCAGCTGCAGAAAGAGATGGAGGTGACCACAGAGCAGATGGAGGCTTGAGCACTTTGGACCCAACACACCAACCCCAGCTTGTGTGATAAAGGGCTACCTCCAGCATGTTTAACCCACTCCTGAGTCAGGCTGAACCCAGTATGAACCTCACACTATGAGGTGCATTCACCCACTGCACCTCAAAGCACCATTTCTGGGCAAATTTGGGTTTGTCCAGCACTAACCAGGAGACGACAGCTTCACCCCCACCCATACACAGTGGGACTGCAAGTATCTCCTCAGCTTTAAAGGCATATCAATTGATCAACTCTTTTCTACTGTAAACACAGCCCTTACATGTTCACAACACATCCCCGAGCATCTCAAACAAGTTGTTCTGGTGCAGACTGAGGCTGGCACCCACCTTGCTCCATGGGATCTGCCAGCACCCCTAGCACGGCCCTTCCAGCTCAGTGGTTCATCTCCATGCTCAGATGAGGGTTTACAGTGAATCACAGCAGCCAAAATGGCAACTGTAGATGTGTCCAAGTGAAAAGCTTCCCACGTTTCCACTGCACAAATAGCTGTCCAATTCCAGTCACACCAATCCTATAACTAACTATTTTCAAGACCTAATCGGTCACTGGACAATCCCAGAGCAGTAAAACACCCATTCAGCAGCATTCAGCCAGACCTCTGGCATCTCCCAAAGCACTTCAATGTTTAACAAGACATAGAGATGTGGATCATTACACTTTAAAAGTAAATGAAAATAAATCGCCATCTCCTTCAGCTTCCCAATATGAACACTGCAAATAAAAGGGTTGAGATATCCGAGACCATCTGGCTCTTTGGAAAGAGATGCTTGTGCCTAAAGATGCTCTGAGGACCCTGACTCGGGGCTCTCGAACACGAAGCTGTTGTTTGCACCCAGCCAGCACAGCAATGCTCATGGTTCCGTTTGATTCCCAAAGCAGCTTGTGCACAGCTCGTATCAGCTTGTCTTCTCTGGAGCAGGGCTGGCTGGCGGGAGGAAAAGCAAACAGCTCTTCTCCTTAGAACAACATCTGCATGTTGCTGTTTGAAACAAATAAGGCTGTTGCTAAAAAGGCTCTGACTGATGTCATGCCGGGCATCGTTTCAGGCAACGCCTCGGGGCTCCTGCGGTTTTGAGAGTGGCTCAAAAGAAGTGGGAGGAAAACACAAAACCACACCAAAAAAAAAAAAAAAAAGACTTTAAAACATGAAAAAACACCAAACCAAACCCAAAAGAAGTCATCTTGAAACCTCCACCAAGTTTGGGCAGTTGGAGCTACTGCAGCACCCAGAAGGTTGAGGCTGGCAGCAAGCACAATGCAAGTGAGAGATCTTCCATCCATCAGGGTGATGTAATTCCAGGTGAATCCACACCATTTCGTGGGCTAAAGTAGTGCTATGGAAGGGATTTCAGAGTCCTGCTGGGAGCAGTATCTTGCTTCCCTAATTTAATTCAGTAGCCTTGTCTGTTTGATGGGAGGAGGCAGAAGGAACCTGTGCCGTGGTAGCCCCAGGGCTGCCAGGATCAGCTCTGGCTCAGCAGCACCCACGGCCAAGAAGAAATTCCTTGGCTCAAAGGCAGAAGTCAACAGCCCTTGCTGGGATGCTGGCTCGCCTGCCTGGGAAAGAGACAGGCAAAGGGCCTAGTTAGCCCCAGGGATCTCTTGCTGCAGACAGCAGCCCAGCAGTGGGAAGAAACCAAGATGATCCTGTCCAGCATAACAAGAGGCTCCCCTGAGGACAAATCCCAGCATTTAAGCGCTCCCTGACCATGCCAGCTGCAAGATGTGGATACAACAGGTCTCTAAAGCACAACTTTTAGCCCGCCCATCTGTAATCCTGATGTGAGTTGTGAAGCTTGGTGGCTGTGAGTGATGATTTGTGAGTGAGGCTTTGCTTGAAGCATACTATCAGCCTGAAAGTAAAGAGTACTGAACAAGGCACAGTTCAAACTCACCAGGCGTCAAAGTCTCTGCAGGACGAAGGTCATGCCACAAGTAGAAATTCGGGTTTGGTTACCCCATTACTGCTTGACAAGGGATTTGTCACAAGCTGATGTGACCAGAGATTACCCTGCAGTGACCCACTCACCTCTGCTCACCCAGGCAACCCAGCACAGAAACAGAGTTGTGTTGCACATGAGTTACAGCCTGGTTAAAACCCTCTGTGTTTTAGTGAATGGCCACTCCCACGAGGGGTTAAGCAGCTGCTCCTAAGCTAAAAACCATCTGTTTAACATTGTGTGGAGGAGAGTTAATCACAGCAACCAAAGAACAACATCAGCCCCATTTGTCCCTAAAGTTGAGGCTTGCAAAAAGAAACAAAGGCCCAACCAAGTTCAGGAGGAGCAAACACGCAGCTGGCTTTAGGTTCAAACACATCACAGCACCATTTGGGCTCATACAGGAAAGAGACAGGGAACCTAATAAATAAATTATGCCCAGCAGCAGTGGGAACAGCCTGGGTTTTGCAGTGGCCACAATTAACACATGATAAAAGGCCTTGGCAATACCATCACTTAACAACAGCAGGAACAGGAAGGACACATTCCCCTACTAAAACTTTCATTAGCGTGCTATTAGCAGCACAAAAGTGGACATTTCCTCTGGATTACCTTCAGGCAAGCAGCATCCCTCCAAAGCAAAGAGAAGCAAACCAACCTGGTTTTGATTCCACTTAAAATCTGGAACTAGAACAAAGCCATTGCAAGGATCTGGGTTTTCATGGATGATTTGATCGGCCTCAGCTTTCTTCTCGAGGATATTATACACCCACTGAAAGAGAAACATGTGATTTAGAAACCAGCAGAGAAAACAACCACCTCAGGCACAATTAGCCCAAGCTCACCGATTAATGCACGTTCTCTGCAACTAGAACATAAAACCCAAACCAAACCGAACAACAACTTGATTTTAAGATGACCCAATCATTTCACGGCTGGTAACATTTGTAGTTAATTATCCATAACACTCCAACAACAAACTCCAGGCTGTTATGAGCACTTGAGTGAAAAGATCCCCCCCTGACCCTGCTGTGTGGCACTGCACTGATTTTTTCAGGCAGCTTTGCTTTCTCTCAAGCATTAAGAACTGGCCACAGCTGGAGATGAAGCGCTGAACACAAAGGGGTTGGCTCAGTGGTGAAACAGTTGCATCTGCCCCAGGAGGATGTGGGGATAATCCTCCCAGTGGGGTCTAGCAATACTCCAACTAGACCTGGCATCTCCGGAGATGGAGCTGCTGCAAGTGCTAAATACCCATGGCAGGGGGCTGGAACTAGATAAGCTTTAAGGTCTCTTCCAACCCAAACCATTCTATGGTTCTTTACACCTCCAAAATGCACTTTGCGCTCTAGCACAAGTATTGGATTGCCAAAAGAACCAGTCAGGTTCCTAAAAGATAAAACAAGGCAGCAGAGAATGGCTGGGGCTTGGAAGCTGTTGAAAAGGTTTTGAAACATCATTTACCCCACCAAGTTTAGGTATGAAATGCTTTGGTTGGGCTGGGAAGGTGCAGCCAGTCTCACAGTGAGCGTGGTCAGTGGATACTGTGCACTTTGCACTTTTGGGGAGCTCTGCCAAGACTTTAATCAAATCAAACTTCAGGATCACTGTGAACTGACCTGAATATACCCCTTAGGAAGAAACCCGACTTCTCCTCCCTTGATCTGGCTTTTTTGCTTAAATTCCTGGTCTTTTCTCCTAGCAACATCTTAGAGAAGATTAGATTCTCCAAGTGATTTTGGAAAGCATGGCACAAGATCACAGTGCTCTGTGACCCTGGAAGGAAAGCAGGGCAGGAAATGGAAGCTTGCCCCTTGGTTTGGTGTTATGCCTGCTCTTTTCACATATTCAAGCTATCAGTGCCCTGAATAAGATCCCTGATCAGATGAGCTTAAGTTTAAACCCAACTGCTGCCTCATGTGATGAGCAGGTCATCAGCTGCCTGCTCTTGCTGTTTCCAGCACAAGCCCAATGAGGACAACACACGTCCAGAGACTGGCACCACAATAAGACTATTATACTGAAGGCATCCGGGCTTTGCATCCTCCAGCAGAACAGAGAGGCCTCTGTAGTCCCCTGGTATTTCTGTTACCCTTCTTATTTCCCCTTTCCACTCGTTAAACCCAGTTAGATAAAGACGAGAAGTGGCATTATCAATGGCTGGTTGTCTTTGAGGGGCTTTATTTTTAATGGATAGCCTCAGCAGACCAAGGATTTGGTTTATTCCCCCTTCTGCACAGGCTGGCATGAATTGGTCCTTTACAGATTTGTGTTCCTTTGGTCTCTAAAGAAGACAGATAGGGAGAGGAGTGATCAAAATGGATGTAAACCAGGAAAAACAATCCATTGCTGTTGCCTGGGGAGAGAAGGACACTAAAAGCACAGCCTCACCACATGGAATATGGACTGAATGGCAGAGGAGGCGTAGGCAAAGTCCAAGGAGTGAGTTGTGATGCAGGAATCCAAGAACAATCTGTGCCTTTGCATTTCCACAACACCCAAGAGACTCCTAGAACGACACCAACGCCCAGGGAGGCACCCTTGGAAAGGAGGAGGAATGTCCCAGCAAAGAAAGTCTCCAGAAACCTTGGGAAAGGCCAGGTTGTCAAGGGAGGGGGTTCTCCCCCTCTACTGTGTTCTGGGGCAACAATATAGGAGGGATGTGGAGCTGTTGGAGCAAGTCCAGAGGAGGCCATGGAGATGCTGTGAGGGCTGGAACAGCTCTGCTCTGGAGCCAGGCTGAGAGAGCTGGACTGGTTCATCCAAGGAGACCAAACGCACCCACCCTGCGCTGTGGAAGCAGTGGTACCCATACCTGGATGCTGAAGCTCTGGGACTGGATGAAGGGCAGCGTTATGTTCTTGTAATCCTCCCAGGTTTCACAGATGAGGTGCACCTCTTGGCGCAGGTACTTCTGAAGGTGTTTCTCTGTGGCAGGGTACACCACTGTGGTCTTTATCTCTAGAGACAAACACACTGGTGATAACTCAGTGGACAAAACCCACGTCACTTCCTGCAGTCCCCAATAAATCTGTTTTCCTTTCCAATAAATGCCCCACTAAAAGAGATACAACTAAAACAGCAGGGTGGGGAGAACAGACACGGAAAGCAAACAAGTGCTTTAACTTCCCAGGCTGCCACTGCTTTTGTTGAGGAGGGCTAAGCCAACCACACAGCCAGGGCCTGTCTTTCTAGTTCAGTGGAGAAGTTTGCTGTCTGGAAGGGTTTTTTCCCCACATTCACTCTTTCAGGCGTATCAGCAACATCAAGGCAGAGCTGGGGCTCCCATGCATGCAGTCAACAACCAGGACAGAAACACCACCTCAGAGCAGAAACGTATCTTCCTCATGCTTAAATCTGAAGCACCCAGCAACTTTCTCCAGCCACAAAAGCAGCCACGGTGTGAGCTGCAAGCGGAGGGGCCAGCACATGGAGTGGCTCCTTCCCAGAGCTCTCAGGCATCACAATCCTTGGCCTTGAGCCCTGAGCACAGGAAGCAAAGAGGTCAAGGGCATGGGGATGGATCCAGAGCAAACAATGCAGGCTGATGGGTTAGTACAGCTTGGGATGCGCCGAGGGAAGAGCAGGCAACTCCTCTGCACCACCTGACAGTGAGCATTCAGCTGGTGACTCCAGGAATAAAGGAAAACACTTTCTGTTGACCTGAAGATTCAAACTGCTGTGCAATTTGTGTGGCATTCAACGGGACACAAGCACACACCTCATCAGGCTCTGCAGCAGTAAATCTTGCCTACAGTGGTGAAACACTTGGAAGGAGAAAAACCCCACGAGCCTGGACAAACCCCAAGCAGATCTGACGAAAGCAAGGAGCCAGGGCACTGCCAATGCTGTAGTTTGTGCCCAAGGCTGGGCATGAAAACCATGGGATGTACACTCACCATGGTACCAAACAGCCATGCTTCGTGCTTCATATACTTTAATACACAGCCAGACACTGAATATAAATATAGTATGAATATTAGACAGGCTGAGACTGGGCTTGTTCAGCCTAGAGAAGCCCAGAGAAGCTGTGGCTGCCCCATCCCTGGCAGTGTTCAAGGCCAGGTTGGACACAGGGGCTTGGAGAAACCTGCTCTAGTGGAAGGTGTCCCTGCCCGTGGCAGGGGTTGGAGCTGGATGAGCTTTAAGGTCCCTTCATCCCAAACTATTCCATGATCTATTTGTTCCTAAAGACAGGATTTATGGAGTTGGGTTTGGGTCTTTAGTTTTCTGCTGTCTCTTTTCAAGGCTGGCTCTCCACAAGCCGGGTGACTGACTTTTCATTTCATGCCAAACCCAGCTTAACAAAATCCACAGGAAAATGCTGGTAACATGAAATATGAAAATGCAAACCACAAGGGCAGCCTGGTCTGATTCCCACCATACACATGTTCAAACAAGGTTGTTTTCCAGGACTCAATTAGCACTTCTAGTGGGATGATGTAATAGGAAGAGAAAAAAGACATACAAGGCTGTAGCTCCTCTGCTCCTCACTTAAAACCAGCAAAGCACTGGGGAAAAAGTAAAAAGGGAAAAGATAATGTGCAGCCTCAGGCTGAAACTTCCACAACTTCATTGTATAGCCCAAAACAAGAGCAGGGACTGCAGCAGAACCCCGTCCATGGTGGTAATAATACAGTCCATGCACTGGCCAGGATGGGGTTGCAGAGGATCCTTCATAGCTTCCCCATCACCTCCCCATTTTGGGTGGTGGGAAAAGCCTTGTGCAAGATCAGAGGAACCCTTAACGTGCAGCTGCAGTCAAGCAGCAGATGTTTGCAGGAGGAGAGGGGGGAGAGGCTGCAGTTCGGTAATGATTATTTCCCTTCTAGAGGTCTCATCAACCCTGGAACGCCCCAGCAATGCTCATTAACATGAATTACCACAGCCCAAGAAGCTGTTTGAGAATGACAGTCGGGCTCTGAGCATTTAAGAGCCCATGCACAAGATGCTAAGGCTGGCAGGAAACAGCCACAGCGAGACCAGGCTCGCCACGAACTCTTTCCATTGCTGGCAACTGGCCGTGTTCATGCTCCAGTTTAAAAGCCTCTGTGCTCCTGGCAGGCTCCACGTGCATTGAAGCATCACGTAGGCTGTGGGGCAGCTGAAACCTACCCTGGCCTGGAAATGAAGGTAAAGAACTGCTTTAGGACACATGATGTGGGGTTTTAAGCTCACTGGGGCTGAGTCACATCAGCCGCGTGTTCCTAAGGGCTGCCACAGAATGCCTGTGGTTTACTCTGGAAGTCAGGAATGACCCTCAATTAACTGGGGGTTATAATAAAGGAGGTTTCATTGAAGGAACCTTTAATTGAAGGAGCAGGAGGCAGAGGTGCTGTGATGGTAGGAAACAACCCATGGCGTAGTTCACCCTGTGAAGGGTGTTGGAGGGGAGGCACCGCACTGTTGTTTCCCTGCCCAGGAGAAAAGGAAGCTCAGATTAAAAACACCAGCTCGGGCTGGGGGATTTATGGGAAAAGGGGCTCAGGGCAGTTGTTGCCAGGAGGAGCGGATGAAACACGTTTTTGCTCCCTATGGAGCAGGACAGCTACATGTCACAGAGGGGAAGGAGGCAGAGACCGCTTATACACATTGGAAAATGTCTTGTCCCCTTCCACGCCACACTCTTCCCAGGCTCTGCTCTGCCAAAATCCCCCTCCAGCTTGGCCCGTTGAGTTTCAAACTGATTCAAACAGCAAGAGAGACCAGGGTGACCTGGTGAGTGCCCTGTGCTCACCTCTCCCATCCCACACAGCAACACTGAAATGGAGCACTCCAGTTCTGTTTTGAATAGATTTGAGCACACAGGGCAGGAACAACCTGTTTCTACTTCTGGTCAGGGGTGCTTTTTGCCTCCCTTTGCTGTTAGGAAGCTGAGCTTTGGCTTAGCATCTGCCTGCCTTATCAACTCAGCCATGAGGTGCAGAAGGTGCCAAGGCCAGGAAAGAGCATAGAAAGCCACACTGCATGCAGCCCTAACTGAACATAACAATGCATACCTTCCCCTCCTGTATTTTTGTTCCATTTCACGATCACTACAGCACAGTGGTCACAGGGGAATACCTCGCTTTAACTGCCTCAGCCACCTGGGGCTTTCTTTATCAAGTAAGGTAACAGCACAAAAGGAAAAGGATAGAGCTTGCAAGAGGCCAGTGCATGCAAGGGCAAGCCAAGCTGCCCGAGACATCTGCCAAAGGCTGGTTGGCACCTGGTTCCCTCCCAAAGAGGACTCCGGGGCGGGGGGGCTCTAGCTGCAGGTTACCAAGCCCCAACACCTAGAGCAAAGCATGGCCATACCCGCTATGGCCACCCCACAGCTCCCACTGCTGCAGCAGCTACACTTCCATAAGGAATTCTCTTTGCTGGGTAAGCCCCATAGGCAGGCGGAGCATAGAAATGCTGGGACACAACCAACCTCCCCTCGGCAGCTCCTGCAAGTCTCTCCAGCTCCTCGCTGCCTGAAACCAGGCCAGGGAAAGCAGGGATATGTATCACTTCCTGCATGACTGAGTACTTTCCTTCCATGCTCTCCTATTTCTCCCAGCCCCGTGTCAGAGAGATGGAGCATCTCCCGCTGTGCTTGTTTTGAGACGGTTTTAATCAGCTTCAGCCCACAGCATAGGGATGAGCTGTGCCCAGCGAGTAAAGACTCCTTTAAGGATTGCTAAGAGCCCTTCAATTATGCTGGCACAATTTTGGTGCTGTAAAACACTCCATTCCTCAGCAACCAGGTAAGAGGAGGCTGGTTTTGCTGGTAACAGCAAGATCTTCTTGCTAAATGGGTGTGAGCACCATCAGGAGCTGGATGTCACTGGGAAATATGCAGATCAAACCATCTGGCTTTTGCAACCAAGCCTTTGGCAACAGCAAAGATCTTTCCCCTGCTATGAAAGCAATGCTTGCTTTCTCTGCAAGGGAGAGTTCCAGAGCTGGGCTTTCCTCCACCATCTCTCAAACCTCTAGGAATAAGCTGCCTCTTAAATCTAGGCAACATCCAGCAACTGGCCTTGAAAGTAAGTTACGCAGCCCTTCCTTTGCCAGTAGCGGAGCAGTTAGGATCAGCTCTGACACTGCTCCTCATTGCAACCACACTCACAGATCTCCTCTTCATTCAGGTAGCTTGTGTTGCCCTTCAGATGAACTCTGACCATTATTAAGCTGCTTTACACGTCTTTTATTCCCCCATTTTAGCCTTGACACATCTCCCCCAGTGCCCGCTTAAACCAATGACACAGCTGAGGTCCTCTCTCTGAGCAGCACCCCCGTAACCCTGTGCTCCCAGCCCTAAAAATCTCATCTTTAAGCAGCAGCAGTGTGAAATTCCTCTTCCAAGGACAAAGAGGAGGTGCTTGCTGAGGTAATGTGCTGCTTTTGGACTCCCTCCCTCTGCCTTCACCACGCAAAGTGACAAGCCCAGACTTGGAATGGACCACCAAGACAAAACAAGCTTTCATCACACAGGGCTTGTGTTAGCTTGACTCTGCAGAGGGTAGAGCAGCACTTCAATGGGAGAGGGTGAAGAAAACATTCACCTTCAGCTATCAAGAAACTCCAGCTCAAAGAAGAGCCGCCTGAGGACTTGGGACCACAAAGGCAGCATTGAGAAACACACATCTTAAAAGCAGAGGGACCGGAGGCAGCTCCTCATACCCAGTCTCATGAGTCACTTGAGGCTGTGATTTCCTCGTCTGGAGGTTTATCTTACCTCTAGACAGCAAGAAGCTGAGCAGAAGAGGGGTTCACCCATCTGGGATGCTGTGAAGTCCCCAGGGTGAACTGTGCAACACCACAACCTGGGGCTTTTCAGAGGAACTACTTAATGCCATGAATCACTTAACCTTTACCAGTTTAACCAGGTGTAAGCCCCAGGGGAGAAAACCCTTTATCTATCCAACCCTAGAACCAAGAGGCTGAGAGAGACTCTATGCAAGGGTTCACTGTGCCTCACCACGATCACATCCCAGGATTCCTCACAAGCCTTGATGTTGTCTGCAGCCTTACAGGAAATTTCTCCTCCGTTGTAGGTTTATGAGCTGAATTCCTCATGTCAACTCCCTCCTTGGGCCGTGACTCAACTCGAAAGGGCAATTTCCTTCCCCTCCTGACACACATAACCATTTCCTCCAGCGCCAGCCCAGCTGCCTGCCAGCAGCTTAAGCAACATGCCTGCAAAAACAGCTTCTGAACTGCTTCACATCTATTGAGCACTGAACTGTTTGAAGGGAGAGGCTTCCCTGCTCATAGCACAGAGCTGGGGAGCCTGGAGACCAGCACCAGCATCCACAGCCCCGTCCTGAACCCCTGCTTGGCGCTGCTCAACATCCAGAGCAAGCACAAGGAGAGGAGTGAGGAGGAAAGATGCAGCACTGGGTGACGTATCTGCAAAACCCTACCTTTTAAAGGCAATGTAAGAGTAATTAAAGAGATGAACTTCAGCAGAAAGGAGCCAGAGGCTTTTTCCCCTATCCAAACAGAAGGAATGGCACGGGAGCTTATCCGAAAGCACAGCAGGTTTGGTCCAACCGTACATGACACAAACACGGGGCAACCACAGCACAGAGGACACACCAAACAACCCGAGCGAGGATTTAGTTTAACAAAGACCCAGAAAAGGGATGTGGAAAGACCCAGATTCACCTGGATTTGCCCCAGAAAGAAGCAGGACCTGGCATGGCACTGTTAAAGGCAACATTTAACAGCCTTTTTACCTTGGTAGGGGGTTTCACACTGGCATAAACCTTAAATAAAGTAAAATTTAATCAGGGGAACACTGGAGTTAAAGAGCGCTGCTCGAAGCGCTACAAGTCAGATGCCAGCACAGCTGCCAGGACTGCAGCTGGAGAGAGGCCCAGGGGACTTTAGTCTTGCAATGCCAGCTCGTGGGAATCACTGCAAGTCGCTGCAAGCAGGAAGGAGCCTGTGCACAGCTTTAACATCTTCCCAACAACAGCGGTGCTGTGGTGTTCTCCTGCCATTGGAATGCCAGAACCTCTGGTTTTGAGTCCTTGACAGGGCAAGAGGAGCTTTGCACGACTCACAAGCTCCCAGAGACAGACAGTGCTTCCTCCAACACCGTGGAAACAGCATTAAAATACAGGTGTAATTGGGCAGGCACACCAAACATCCAAAGAATTCAATTCAGGATGGCAACAATTTCTAATTTAGGCTATCACCCTAATGAATTTTGACTGTTAAGCCTGTTTGGCTATCACGGTGCTTATGGAAGCATCAGTGTGTAATTAATCGCTGCACTTCTGGAATTTAAACCCATCCCAGCATTAAACTGAGGTGCCCGACCTGCCAAGATGTGCTCTGCAGATTGTTATCAAGGTAAACATGATGGGGAGAGGCAGTGTCTTATACCAGATTAACTGACATCACTGAAGACACACAAGGAAAGCTTTCAGACCCACAAACCCTTGACCTTTAAATGAAGGCATGGGCAAGGAATCAAAAGATGTCTGTTTAGTGGCCAGCAACTCAACAGCTTGGTGAGCATGAGGAAAAGGGGTCCCAAAACCTCAGGATTAAGATGTTGCCTTCAGAGCAGCAACAATCCCCAATCTGCTGCTGCTGCCAAACCACAACCAGAGCAGGCAGGAACACACAGAGCAGCATCACAGCCACATCACCCCCCTGGGACTCCCAAGCTCACCACTCAGCTCCGGAGGAGGATAGAGGTGGTATGTCCTGTAAATGTCATTGTGCATCTGCAGCTCCAGCTTTGTGTGCTTCTTCAGCAGATCCAACAGCTTCTCCTCCTGGAAAGGAGTCTTTTCCAGGATGACTAAAGCATCTGTTCCCTCTCCGGAGGGGCCGGTCACCTGGAGTAGGAATGGATAAAGCCATTTGTGACATGGATCCAGTTTGAGGCCAGGACCTGAGGCTCCATAGCAGACACATTGCAGCCCCCCACTTGTACACAAACCCTGTCTTGATCCAGCCACCCATGCAAAAATAAAGCCACATGTGGCTTGAAGCATGAATCTGCTCCCCACGAGGGAGGTTTTTGGGGGGAGCACAGGATGTGGACAGTGTGTGAGCCCATCTGCGCCTTCCTGGATGCTCCCAGCACCCGCAGCCACATTCCCACTGACCCACATCACTGATTCCTTCTCCAATACTTGCAGGTCAACATGGTGCTGCAGAGGGTCAGGATGAGGGCAGAGGCAGGCAGCAAGGGGCTGGGGCACTGCAAACACAGCTGCTTGTGCCCCTGCCTGGGGCAGGGGGTTGGAACTGGATGAGTTATAACTGATATAACTCGTTACAAATCGTACAACCAGCCTGTTATACGATTAATTTCTCTTTTATGGTACCCTTTTACCTTTACCTGTTATAGGTATTGACATGCTTATCCTATTTACACCCCATCATGCTCGCAACTCAATGCTACTCCCCCACCAAGCACGACAAACCTACTCTCGGGGCCAGGAGCAACTAACACAACCA